GATAGATGTCAGCATAAAGCATAGTCTGAAAACCTTGCCAATGCTTGTCTTATGACTTACCAGAGGAGTAAATTAACTAGGTTCAAATACTTAGTAAATGTACTTAAGTAGCTTTTTTGGGGTCTTTACCCTACCTGAGTATTAGGACTTTTTACTTTTACTCCCTAAATTGGAAGCCACGTATCTGCACTTTCTTCTCTGTACTTTCTCCAAAATATCTTGATACATCTTTACATGTTGAAAATGACATGAAATAACAGCTGCAACAAAACAGATAGAAAATACAGTATAAAGTACAAATTGAATCTGTCCAGTTGGAACCAAGTGAATTTCCAGAAAAACACTGAAAGTGACATGGATGAAGAAAGGGGGCTGTGAGACGGCCACAGGCTCTTATATAGTCATGGAGCTATGTAAGAGCTCTAGTATTTTTCTACCTGCTCAACTACTGGTCATGGCTGAGGAAGGAAAAGATGTAAACCTTCTGAAGAGGCTTAAAAAAGAAAACGTGAAAGTGATCATGCTGGAGGAAAAACAAGAGTCATTCTTGGAAAGGAGTTTGTCCGTTGGCACAGGCTTAAAGAAGAAGCCGGATGTAAAACCGATTCTCTTTTCTCAACTTTATTATTAGACTGGTCATATATCTTTGTCATTATTTTTGATGTTTAGTAGAAGCAAAATATGGACAGTTACAGGTCTAGAACCCCTGATGGCCAAAAGTTAAACGTTGTGCCTCATAGGAGCCTGATGCAAACTCTCTAGTGTCAGACTGTAAACCTTTTTGGTAACTCCTTGCTCTCTGAAGTTCCTGAGCTTTGTTTCCTAGAAACCTCTTGGATCAGTTATCTACTTTGGTTCTGTTAGGAATATAGCTCCTGAGGTTTACGCTCCTGAAAAAAACCTTCTGAGTGCGTCAGTCCTCTACACATATCAAGGTAAACCCTGTTGGTGCTTTTCTCAGCTGGCAGCCCAGAGCACCTTTGAGGTCACTGCTCCGTTCAAGCTGCTCCGCTCTTCTCTGTGCTCACCTGGATTCCTTTGCTTTCGAGACAAACTCTGTCAGTACTAGGGGTGTAAATCACATCCATCATGGCGATTCGATTCAGTATCGATTTCCTGACCCAACGATTCGATTATTTTCGATACTCAAGAATACACCACGATTCGATTCGATTCGATTAATTGGTTAAAAAAAATTATTATTATGTTTTTTACACCTTACAGGCTAAACAAAGTTTCAAGTTTGAAATAAATCAATGAAAGCTGTAATATCGTTATGCATTTTTTTAGCGCCACCGCAGCACGGGAGGTAGAATTACGCCCAGGAGCAAATGGATAAAAATAGACCGGAGGAAAAAAAAAAAACATGAATCGATTATCATGCGGACGAATCGATGCATCGGATCGTCGGCTTTTGGATCGATGCATCGATACAAAACGATTATTATTTACACCCCTAGTCAGTACCACAACTCAAAGAATTTCCTGGACCCAAACCCGCCCCCCGGCGGATGAATCCCAACCTCCAAGTAAGCTCTCTCTACCATATTCAGATTCCCCTCAATTCAGTTCAACACATCTAACTTTCCTGTCCATCTTTCAGAGGACCCTACCATTCCTGTTCCTGGTTCCCGAAGTCAATTTGCAGTATGCACATTCTGTGAAAATAAGCATAACTTTGTTGAACTGTTCTCTCTTTGCAAAGATATGAAAATAAAGTGCTGTCTGAGTAAAATCCATTGTTTTTTTAACTGGGGTAATTAGTTGAATACTTTTTTACTTTTTTAACTTGTAAAAATGAATTAAAAAAAAGTGCTGCTGTTGTTTCAGAGCTTTTTAAGATAAATTTTTAGGTCACCCAGAGGTCTACTATTGAATCAAAATTATCAGGCCTACTTTTTTCAGTGCTATTTCATTTGTGCAGGTAAACTCTCATTTGTGATGATTTGGTTTTTGCAATCATCATCCCAACAGATGTTAGTGCTGCGCTCGTTTCCTGATATAAAATCATTGCATAACATCACATGCCATTTCTTTGCTGGTATTGAAGAAAACAGTGGGCATGTTTACCTTATTTAATGGTTGGAAAACTTAACCAATGCTAAATTGTTCCTTTTAAAGAAAATATTGAATCACCCCAGGGAGACCATAACTTTTTGGAAAAGCCCCAAAAGCTCTGAAAAAAAAAAGTCCACTTTGGTTCATACAGACGCAGCCCTGATTCACCTTTGCCTATAACCAGTCCCTGATTGGCTGACGTTGCCATTTCATAGAAAAGTTCAGATTCTTTAAGTTTGCCGCTCTTCTCTCTCTATGCGGTGCTGCTGTTTGACACCTCAGCTCTATCTAGTAGCACGAGGTGAGGGTGGAGCAGTGAACGGTCTCCCCAAATGGAGTTCACTATTCGTCGCTTCACCACCCTTCACTGCAAGGATTGCCGATTGTATGTGAAATCACCACAGTCGGCATTGTCACTGCCTTCGGTGAGAAACATACCATGAAACAACAAACAACTTCAGAAAACGATGACAAAATATTTCCCATCTATTACCACTTAATTAGATTCTAATGTATAAGTTGATTATGTTTCAAGATCTATAAATTGTATTTAATTTCATTTCAGTTTATTTATATAACACCAATACACAAGACATGTAATCTCAAGGCAATTTACAGAGTCAGTTTCATTAGATCATACAGTCAAACTAAGAAAACCCAGCTGATTGCATTGATTGCATCACTTACTCTGTAGGGTTTGTTGCACTTGAATGAGAATGTGGCAACATTCAATATGTACTTGTGTTGTGTTGTTGACTCTACAGAAATCCTTCACATGAGCATACATGCAGCAACAGTGGGGAAGAAAAGGTCTACGAAGACATCCCTTTTAACTGGAAGAAACCTCCAGCAGAACCAGACTCTATGTGAGCAGAACCATTGGGGGTTTAAGGAAACAGTAGCAGACATACAAAATGTATTTAGAAGCACTGACCTTTAAATACCTTTTTTTTAGAGAAGGTAAAAAATCCAGCACCATAGGTGGCTCTGTCTAGGAATTAGTTAAGCAGAGGAGCTATGAGTCATTTACCTGTTGAAAGGAGGAAGGTGAGCACACATATTTAGTCACAAGAAGAGCTGAGCCTATGGCTAGAAACAGGACTAAGCACTGAAATCAAACCCAACTCAATTATCTTTAATCAGAGGTGTTTATGGCAACAAACTACCGTAGCTGAAATTTCCCTCCAAGATGTCATAGCCAAAAAGGACCTGACCAGATGAAGCCACTGTTTTGCAACTTTAATATGTTATTTAATCAGATATTATTGGGACTGTCGTATATTGTTTGGGAACACAGGCTTTACTGGCTGTGTGTTAGAACAGCAAATGAAAGTATGAATCAATCTCAAATCATGGTTAAACAGATAATTCTGCACATACATGGAATAAATTCACCACAACTTCATATCAAAATATAAGAGTTTATTAACAAAAATCATTCAGCTCCAAGTCAAACATATTTCCGTTTAAAACTCTTGACTAAAAACAAACTAAACAAAACTAAACTACTATGTACACAGAGGAAGAAAATAGATGGCTGAAAAACCATATCACAGTTCAGGACGGATTTTGTGTTTGAGAAAGAACGTTTATCTTAGGTAATTTGGGATGTGATATAATTAACTTTTTGCTAAATTTAGAGAATTAGGAATGTTTTCAAACCAATTCACGATGCAAACCCATGAGGTGAATAAAATATTATTATGGCAAATATGGTTTTATTAAATGATCCTTAATCAGGAACCAATAACCTTTAGTAAATTGATATTTTACCCTCTTTAAGTGATCTAGCAGTGAGCAGAAATTATGACTCCATTAAATGGCAATAATTTGTAAAAATGTGGTCATCAAAATGTAATAAGCATAGAAAACACACGAACATTAACATTATATAAGTCTTTAAACCTTTAGTGAAATAAAGGTTGTTATAGCTTTATAACAACAGCTCAAAACATATTACTGGAGCATAGTGTACCATGCGATCCATCCTGTTAGCTTTGTATTTACTCAGTAGTGAACACACTAAATAATCAAAATCATCAAAAAAAATACTGTTTAATTTGAAGTTGAAGTGTGTCGGGTCATAGTTTTTTTTGGCACCCAACGTGTTGCTTGTCTCTTGCTGCAGCCTGGTTTCATATCAAAAGGGCAATCAGAATCACATGTACATCACACTGATAAACATCACAGGCTACAAAGCAAGGCTAGAACACAGACATAGAGAACTATTTTTCTAAAAGACAAATAAAGAAAAACAGAGCAAAAGAACAGAGACACTGGAAGCAAGAACCCTGATCAACAATAGGAACTCAGATAATAAATCTATTTGGGTTTACAGAACTCTGCAGAGGATCCAGTACCAACCCAAACTCCAGCATGTAGCGGCTGAGTGAATTTGGTCTGGACTCTGTGGAGAAGAGTCCTGGTTTCAGAGACTCTGTAGAAGGACAGAACACCTGCTCTGTGATCCAGGTCCACTCCTACTCTGGAGGAACCAGGTCCTGAGATAGGGGTCCAGATGTTGTTGTGACCAAATGTATAATTGCCTTGGTTACAATTTAAAGCCCAGGATTTTTCATTAAATCCAAATAAACATTCATCCCCCTCTCCTACCCTGCTGATATTCTTGTATGCCACTGCTACATCAATGTCCCCCCTCCACTCCACCTCCCAGTAACAACATCCATGAAGACTCTCTATACTCAGAACCTGCCAAAAATCAGTAAATCTGTTTGGATGACTAGAATAAGACTGTGGTTGTTCTATCCTATTCACTTTCCTGTTTCCCTCTGATAATGACAATTGTCTGTTTGCTGTGTTAGGATCCAGTGTGATTTGAAGTGAATATTCTAAGAATTCAGTTCCGCTCCCTGGTTCTGGTTCTTCCTTATTAAGTGTCAGTGAGAAGTTGGTCCATGTGTCTCTCAGTATGTCCTGTACTTTGTCTCTGAGCTCTGACACAGCTGCTGTTACATCCTGCCAGGATCTTAAAGGACAAACGTTGATGCTATGTGAAGGTGCTGATTCACTAAAGTCTGACAGTGATAGGTAGCTGCGAAGAAACTGGTTATGATCTTCGGTGTTTGTGAGCTGCTCCAGCACAACGTCTTTCCTTTTCAGCTCAGTGATCTCCTGCTGCAGCTTCTCCTGAAGCTCTTTGAGTGGACTCACTACAGCTTCCTGCTGGGATCTGATCTGCTGCTTCACATCAGAGCTTCTTTTCTGGATGAAGTGGATCAGCTGATTAAAGATTTTCTTACTCTCCTCCACTGTTTTATCAGCCAGTTGATTGATGGCTTTCACCTCCTGTTGAAGTAGCTTCACATCTTTCTCTCTGTCCTGGACTCTCTGCTGGATTATACCTCGCCTCTCCTCCAGCTCGCTCTGCCTCTTAGTCTTCTCTGCTGCAATTGAGACTATCTCATGGCCTTTATGTTCCTCCACAGAACATAGATAACAGATACACTTCTGATCATCACGGCAGAACATCTTCATCACCTCATCATGATGTGAGCAGATGTTTTCCTGAAGATTCTTGGAGGGCTCCACCAGCTTGTGTTTCTTTAACGGAGCTGACTCCCGATGAGACTGAAGGTGTTTTTCACAGTAGGAGGCGAGGCAGACCAAACAGGACATGGTTGCTTTCACTTTCCCTTTAGTACAGATATCACAAGCCACGTCTTCAGCTCCAATATAGCAGTGGTCAGCAGGAGCAGCTTGCAATCCAGTCTTCTTTATCTGCTCCACTACAGCAGCAACCAAGTTATTTTTCTTCAGAAATGGCCTGGGTATAAAGGTCTCCCTACACTGAGGGCAACTCTGAATTCCTACCTGATCCTCCTTATCCCAGTGGCTTTTAATACAGTTCATACAGTAGTTGTGTCCACAAGGAATAGTCACCGGATCCTTCAGTAGATCCAGACAGATTGAACAGGAGAAGGTTTCTGAATCCAGCTGGTTCTCCTCCATTTCTGCTCTCAGTCACTGTGACTGTGGGTTTTCCTTCTAGAAAAGATACTGGTTTGAGCTCTTGTCATGAATCACATGTCAGTGCAGAGAAACTGCAGCCAATCAGGTTTTAGCTCCAGCAGATATTGGTCCCACCCAGCTTCAAGGTGTGTTTAGGAGCAGGAAAATAGATGAGGAGCGATTCCAGGAAAAGGAGGGCACTCAAAGTAAAACTGAAAGTTTAACAATCTACATAACAATTTTCTGTTCAAAACATCTGACTAAGTCTCCCAAACAAGAACCACACCAGGTGAAAGTGCAAGTTCCTCTTTAACACTTAAATTCACGGCAGGTAAAGGATATTAACTTTTTGACACATAATGACCCACTCATTCATTTCACACTTCTGTCTCAGGATAAAGTTGAGCAGCTTAAGGACTTTCTTGCCAGAAATATCAACAAGTAAAAGTAAATGTTATTGTTTTTGTTTCACAAGACAAAATGGACACCTGTAGAAATTTCTGTAAATATGCCAGTGTTGGTTATGAAATTAGAAAAATATTCTGACTTCATTGTCTGCAGAGGAGTAACTTTGTGGTGACAGTGCTGTCCCTGTGCTGGCATAAGTCATAAGGCATAAGTTGTATAGTGGGTGATGTACCAAATTTATAATCCCATTTTGAATAATTAGATTTACCCAAGATCAGTGCCTAACTCATACTAATGAGCCGTAAATGGACATCACTTTTAATTGATGTTTATGCCCGTTGCTTCTTTTTTATTATTGTTTTTTATGTTAAATTACATTATGGATAATTCTAATGGATTCTAATAAAAGTTGTGATTGAAAGTAGTTGCATGTAATTCACCTCAAGCTAAGCTTTTGATGTTTTCCTATTTTCTGTTATTTATTGGACGTCACTTTTCCTTCCCTGTGACCAGCAGCTGGTTATCATGGTTTTTATTGTACCTTTTCAATTTTGTACCATTGTAGGTTTTATTTAGTTTTGCAATGACATAATATTTGTAAAGTATCAAACTGTGTATTTATTTTATATGTGCTACATTTACTTGACGCAGAAGTTTTAGTTTTTTTCCTGGGCATGATTTCGATGGACTTCTAATTGAGACTGCTTGGTAATTGTTCATTGCTATGAATAGGATCCAGTCTACCTACGTAGGCTCCTAGTGGCCTTTGAAAGTCTTTCAGACAACTAAGCCCCAGAGTCATTAGAGTGTGTTAGTTTAAGCTTCAAAGAATCTTCAGGACAGCTTAGTTCCTGTCTCAGACGGTCTGTTTTTATGACTCTTCAAGACACCTTGCTTCCTGTCTCTGAGGGTCTTCAGGTTGCCCAGCTTCCTGTCTCTGAGGGGCTACAGTATTCCCTGCTTCACATCTCTGAGGGTCTTCAAGACATCTTGCTTTTCGGTCCTGATGTTTCCAGTGTTCTTGCTCCAGAGGGTGTCTGTGCTCCTGCTACTGAGGGTCTCAGTGATCCAGTTCTCAATGTTTAAGAAAAGCTACTTCATTATTTCCTGTCTTCACCCCTGAGCTTTTTTTGTGTCTCGAGGCTTCATCCCAAATTAATCTCTGGATCTTCCATTGGTTACTGTATTGCCTCTATTGGCCTCCTGAATCCTGGGCATCATTTGGATGGCTTCATTACCACCCACCTGAACTTTATGCCCTCCCTTGATGACCCTCTTTTTGCTAATCTGAACTGAGTACCTGTACAGTTCATCCTTCAGGTTGCCAACTTGATTGATTGGTCAACTTTTTTATTTTCCGAGATCTCAGATTGTTCATTTCAGCTGCTATGTTGAATCAATTTGAAAGTTATGAAAGCTGCTACCCAACTACTCCACATTGTACCTTAAATCTTTATATGCTGCCACAACTAGAATGAAGTAACACATTCATAGCTTAGATGATTTGTTTTTGGAATTGTACAGTGCAATGTTTTCTTCTTCCTTCCCAGATGACCTACCTGTCATATAGCCTGCACACCATCCACAGTCTAGCTGATTTTGGACATCATAGAACAGTGTTTTATTATGTGTAAAAGGATCCTAACTAACAATTGTAAATTGATGCTATATGAAGGCAACACTGTCTTACTAGCTTTTAAGAAGGTGAGATGTACATGAAAAAAGCATAGTCACGGTAACCGTATCCACAAAACATAATGCTGATATACAAAAATATAGTCAAAAGAATGAAGACTACCATCCTGTTTTGTTAATGTTTGCTCTTCTACTTCAACTTTTCAAATAATTAACATATGCAGAAATGTTTAATTTTCATTCTCACTTCACATTTGTTCTTTTGAAAACAATTGTTGACATCCCATAAATAATGAGAAGAAATCTGAAGCTGATGCCGGCTCCCAGTCTCTTTTTATCCTCCTGGACTTGAATGCGGCCTTTAGCACTGGGTCATGACATCCTCCTTCACAATTTTCAGTACATTCCACTATCAGTCTTTCTGAGTTCCATGTCACCTTAAGAGAGTCTACTGTAAATGCCTGACACATAACATCAGCTGTTGTGTCCATCAAGGCTAATTGCTTGGCCCCATCCTGTTTATTCTCTAAATTCTCCCCTTGGCCATGTTATCTACCACTATGGAATTTCATTACACTGCTGTGATGATCACTAAAACTCTATCTAAACTCAATCTCACACTAACCTTTACTGATTTGCAAAAGATTATTCAGGCATTTGTATCCTCCAGACTTGACAACTACTACAGTGGGAACAAAAAGTACTTAGTCAGCCACTAAGTGTGCAACCACTTCAGGATACTTTTAGAGGAATGACTTCTTAGTTGGCCGGGTGTTATGTTAGAGATCATTGTAATGTTGGAAGACCCAACCATGTTCTATTTTCAATATTCTTAGTGACTGAAGGTGGTTTTGACTTAAAATCTCAGAGTACATGGTCCTGTTCATTCTTGTCTTACACAAATCCTTAACACATCCAGTCTGTTTTGCAGAAAAGCAGCCCCAAAATATGGTGTTTCCAATCCAATACTTCACAGTATGTATGCTGGTTTTGGAATGGAACTCGGCATTATTCTTCTTCCAAACATGATGAGTTGAGCTTATGCAAAAAAAATATATATTTTGGTTTCCTATGAGCACATGACATTCTCCCAGTCCTCCTCTAGATCATGAATATATTAACTTTGGAATTACAGATGGGCCTGAAGATGTACTGATTTAAGCTGTGGGACACACCTGGCACTGCAGGATTTTAGTTCCTTGCTGCAAAGTGGGGTGCTTTGTCATTTTGGTCCCAGTGCTCTGCAAGTCATTCATCAGGTCCTTTGGTGTAGTTTAAAATTTTTGCCAACCTCTCTCATTATCATTTTGACCCAATGGGATGAGATCTTGCATGGTCTTCCATATCAAAGTAGATTATCAATGGTCTTTTATCAATGGTCTTTTTTCAAGCCCTTGTGTTTGATATACAGCATTTTGAGATTTGTTAAAATGAGCACTGTAGTTATTACAAACTTGGTTGTCATCCCCTAAAAAATAATGAAAATTTTTTTGGCTAGGCATTGTGTTATAATTTTGGCACTGATGGCTGGCTTGTTTGCTGATTTCATTCACCTGTCTAGCTCTGCCCTCTTTGTCATCACTGCTCATTTGATCCACCTTTTTTCCTGCTTCTATTTAAACTACTTAATCCCAGCCATGAGGGCCAGATTATTCCTAAGCCTTGGGTATAGAGAGTTTTTGAGTGTTACTAATTTTGTTCTGTTTGCCTGATGCCCACCTGTTTCTGTGTTCAGACTTTTGAGCCTGCCTGCCCCAGTCTGCAGACTCCTGTTGTATTTGTCTGTCAAATGAACCTTGATCTCCCTGCTTTCCTTCGTCTGCTCAGATCTGACCTCCTGTTAGATCTGCAGCCTTCTAGGCTTCCACGTATGGAGCTCTCTGGCAGCCACCACTGTGTTTTGTGAGCTGACTGGCTGGAATCATCCTTGTCCTCTGGGCATGGACCAAACTGTAAAACCAGGTTAGTAACTCCCGCGTCAATAATCATCCTCTGTCGAATTATCGGGGTCACTAACCTTTTTTTCACTGCTATAGATGTTCCTGTCTTAGAAGCCCTAGCCTCTGCACAGATCCGCTTGTTTCAATAAACGCTTTAAGTTATTCCACTGTCTGTCTTGCCTAAATTCTGGCTCCTCTGTTTTTAAGGGCTTACACGCTTTCACTCTACTTATAAAAATAAATATTTTTTTGCCTTTTATTCTGTGTGAACAATTTATTTAGTTTGAATGTTTGTAGCTAAACATAATTATAAAAAGATATGTTATTACTATTATTACAAATTCTACCCATGGTTTTTGCTGCATTTTCATCTTTTATGGGTTTGAAAAAACAAACAATTCAACAAGTATTGAAATAACTTGTTTTGGCAAAAAAACAGGGGTATCTTTTTCTCCATTTCATCCTGAGTAAATGTAACATTTATAAAATGCAGACCTTCAACAGACATCTTCATTTCAACCGCTTCTAGCCAAAATATAACAACAATGTCCTATAGGTATGCACAAGATTTTACAGTACTCTGCTTTCCAATTTTCTGTTCAATATTGTGTAAAATCATTATCATCACATCTTTGCAGAGGTGGATTTTATGTATTTGAAGAGTGGCCTTGCATTTTCCTGAGCACTGTTCATTCAAGACAGTCAGGTGAATTGCTTTTTTATGTAACAACCTCAGGGGTCCCATCTTACAACAATCATTTAACTAAATATACAGTCTGTAACTTACTTTCTGTATTTCCCATTGTCCATCAGTTTTTTTTTTTTTTTTTTTTTATGACTGTTTCCTTACCTATTGTTAGTTGAGTGCATCCATCAGAACTTGGTTACTAACTTGGATATTATTATTAATATCCAATTAATATTTTATTAATTTCACTGTGTATTGCAATTAAAACCAACATTCAAAAAAGGAGCTAAAATAAAATACAATAAAAACACACACACAAAGGAACACAT